AAAAAAATTTAAAAAAATAGGTAACATTGTACGCTTAAACATAATATAAGGAAAAAAATTAAAATAATTTTAAAAAAAAAACCGGTAACACCATAGGCTTAAACATAATACAAAAAAAAAATTTAAAATAATTTTTTTAGAAATTATTTTTAAAAAAAAACCAATGACATAATACGCTTAAACATAATATAAGAAAAAAATTCAAAATAATTTTTAAAAAAAAACGGTGACACCGTACGCTTAAACATAATACAACGAAAAAATTCAAAATAATTTTTTAAAAAAAAAACCGGTAATAATGTACGCTTAAACATAATACAAAGAAAAAATTTAAAATAATTTTTTTTTAATTTAAAAAAAAAAAAAAAAAAAACCAGTGATATCGTACGCTTAAACATAATACAAGAAAAAAATTCAAAATAATTTTAAAACAAAAAACGGTGACACTGTACGTTTAAACTTAATACAAGGAAAAATTTTTAAAAAAATTTTTTTAAAAGAAAACCAATAATATTGTAGGCTTAAACATAATACAAAGAAAAATTTTAAATAATTTTTAAAAAAAAATTTTTTTTTAAAAAAAAAAAAAAAAAATGACACCGTACGCTTAAACACAATATAAGGAAAAAAATTCAAAATAATTTTTTTTAAAAAAAATTGGTAATACCGTACGCTTAAACATAATACAATAAAAAAATTCAAAATCATTTTTTTTAAAAAAATCGATGACACCATACACTTAAACTATATATATATTTATATATAGTTTAATAATACTGCACATAACACTTGGAAATAGGAATATATATATATATAGTTTAATGAAAAATAATTGATGAATATGTAATTCTTTATAAAACTCATGGGTAAAATGGTAAAACGTCTATTTCCGTTACGTCTGTTAGCCGACTAACACTGACAAGGGAGGTCAGTGAAATTTTAGAAAAGGTAAGAGGTGTCGTTAAAAATAGATCTATTTAGAAGGAGTGTTGATGAAATTTTTCCTATATATATATATATATACACACACACACATATAATAATATCAAACAGTAACACGTTTAACAAAAAAATAATAACATCAAACAATAAAACGCTCATCAAACAATAGTTTAGTTGTCACTCTTTACTGACACTACTTAGACACTATCAATGGGGCATTACATGATATCATTGATTGGACTCTCTTTGTCATTACGTTGTGCCTCTCTTTGGTGACACTTTTTGCATGACAATTTTTTGAGTCCCTCTTTAGGTACAACTCTTTGGATAGACAAATATATGTTATCATCATTTATGATTAATCTATTGTTATTACTCTTCACTAACACTACTTGGGCACTGTTAAAGGAGCATTATATGATATCATTGATTGGACTCTCATTGTCAATATCTTGTGTCTCTTTTTGGTGACATTGTTTGCATGGTAATTTTTCGAGTTCCTCTTTAAGTGCAACTCTTTGAATAGACAAATATATATTGTCATCATTTAAGATCAATCTTTTGTTATTAATCTTTACTGACAATACTTGAACACTATCAAGAGGACATTATATGATGTCATTGATTGGACTCTCATTGTCATTATCTTGTGTTTCTCTTTGTTGACACTGTTTACATAGCAATTTTTTGCGTCCCTCTTTAGATGTAACTCTTTGAGTTGGCAAATATATATTGTCATCATTTATGGTCAATATATTGCTATCACTCTTTACTAATACTACTTGGGCATTATTAAGAGGACATTACATGATGTTATTGATTAGACCTCATTGTCATTATCTCGTATCTCTTTTTGGTGACATTATTTACATAACAATTTTTCGAATCCCTCTTTATATACAACTCTTTGAACGAACAAATATATATATATATATATATATAATTTCAAATGATACATAAATATCAAAAGGAATCTTGAAATTCTCACATTTTAATCTTAAAAATATCACATTCAATTAGATATACACTATTTATGACTCTTTTTTAGTAGATGTACTTGTATCCCAATAATTTTTAAAAATGTACTTTTATCCTATTAAATTTTTAGGGAGGTACCGGCCTTCCTAAGTCCCAATTTTTTTTTGAAATTATATTGGGCTTAAGGACCGGCCTCCAAATCCCTCTAATTTAAACAATAATGTAAAAATTAGAGCAGCTTAGGGAACCTGAGTCAACAATGGGCTGTTGGCGTACTATTTTGAGTAAGAGTGTAACTTGAACGGGTTAACTCGTTCAAAAAATAGTTTGGGTTAAAATTTTTGAAATTTAGATTGCATGTTAGGTTGAGATTTTGAGTTCATGGGTTCAACTCGAATTATTAAAATCAGGTTCAATCCGAAATTGAAATATATATATAAGTCGGTCAATTATTGTGTCATGCCCGAAATTGACTTGGACAATACTCAAGTTGAATACCTCGAGTTTAAAGTCAAGCTTGGGTTGGAATAGGGTTAAAAGTTTTAGTGAAAATTGAGGCTGAATCCTCCTAGATAAACTTATAATGACTTGAGTCTGTCAAGAAAACTTATTCGGTAATAAGTCTGTTTTTTATCTTACTAATAAGTACTTAAGTCCATTATTTTTTTAAATTTCAAAAATACCCTTAATAGTGTTATTGTGTTCAATTATAGAAATTTTAAAGACCTTTAAAGTAGCTTTAAATTAGTTTTTTAAATTAAAAATTATTATTCCTTAATTTACTCCTAAATTGAAATTGAAATTTATTCTCTCTCTCTCTCTCGTTAGAAAAAGATTCTCTCATTCAGTAACAAATACAAAGCTTTACAATAACAATTGTAAACCACAATGTAAAATCTAATTTTTTCTTCACAGTAATACAATGATTTTAACAAAACTCAGGAGAATATATGTTGCACAGTACCATCAATGAAATATTTTGTTCTTCAGAGTATCAATAATTTTTTTTTACTTTTTATAAAATACGGTCCACAAATTAAAAAATTATATTATTTAAAATATTAACACATAATGGTCAATTCGTCTTGGGTTAATCCTTAAACCCGCCGAATTACACCCTTACTTCGGCCCGTGGACCAGGACTTATACAGCCCACAAACTTGCCTGCAAATTAGTATGAGCCCTACCACACTGTGGTTGGCTCTGGGCTGTCCGTTGGGCCTAATCGGGTTGGGGGAGGGGATACGCATTAGTGTTAGATTAACGGTATGATACATTTTGACTTGATATTAGGGGTGCGCAAATATCTAAAAATTTGACCCGGACTCTGATTTAGATCCACTTCTGTCTCTGTCAGAGTTGGAATTTAACTCAAACTTCGATTAAAATTCTTTCTGAAAAAATTGACTCTAATTTTTATTAATTAATAATTTTATATAAATTGTAGAGTATATTATTTCATATAAATATAAAATATTAAAACATAAAAAAAAAACTTTGATTCTAACCCGGTATTAAATTATAAATCATATTTTTATATATAAATATAAAATCTTGAAACATAAAAATATAAAAGAGAACCCCCACCTTAAATTTTCCATATTCTTCTACTTATCCACGCCTCCACCCAAATCTACTTCACCCCCTCCCCCTCCCCCTAACCTAACCTTCATTGCTCCACAACTCCTTTATTATCGAAAACATAAAAATAATTGTTTTTTTTTTTAAATATTTTGACAATTATTTGTGAATAGTTACATATCAAGATAAGTTTCCCTTCAAAAGGTTGTGAATATCCGACAAGTGTGTCTCTTAACCAATTATAAATATGAAAGACTTTTATCAAATTTGGTCACTTGGTAAAAAATAATGTTAGATGAACTTAAAAATTAAACTTGATAATCTCAACCATTGAATAAGTAGTGAGTCCTAATAAATGATGGGACCCACAATGAAATCAATTGTTAAAATTATCAAGTCTATTTTTTAAGTCCATATAACATTACTCCCTGATAAATCCATCAAAAAAATTCCTATTGATGACATGTCCCCTTGTTGAAGTGATTCCGAACCTTACGACAATTTCCTTGTTCATCTAGCACAATAAATTTAATTCAATTACTACGCAAATGTGCGCTATATGGACTTCACTTATGTACTAATTTATTAGTGCAATGCCACTAATTATGGTTTAACAGTTCCTTAGTGCTTAAAGGAACANCTAATTTATTAGTGCAATGCCACTAATTATGGTTTAACAGTTCCTTAGTGCTTAAAGGAACAAATTTGAGTCAATGTTAAAGATGTTGGCGGTTAAAATTAGTTTGATTTTGGAGGAAAAAATTCATAATTACAGTCGTGGCGAAAATGATGATTTCGATGGTTGAAAGTCATCCCTATAAATAACAAAGACAGTGTTACGGAGAAAAAATAGGCGATTAAACATACAATTTTACATAGAGTCAACCTTTCTTCTATTTGTTATTTATTTCCAAGTAATTTTTACTTTTACTTGTAATTCATCACTCTGATAGTCTTTACTGTTTTCATTTAATGTTAAGTACAATACTATTTCATTTTTCAAGTTTAGTTTATTTGTTATTTTAGATTTCAATTTTTTTTTATATTTTAGTCTATTATGCGTAGTTAGTTCGAAAATTATTTAAAACTCTTAGATCTTAAATTGGTAAGTTTACGGTAAGCCAAATTTGACATCTTCCCATCTTCTTCTATCTCTCGGCCACTCGGGGGGGAGCAATTCCAAATTCTCGCCTTTCACTGCACCCCTGGGCCAGACCCCACACTACACACGGCTAAATCAATTCCAGCATGTGAAAGTAAAACTAAACGCAGGCGGCTCACCTCCCCCTGTCCTCTCTCTTTTTCTCCATCACACCAAACCAAAAAAGTACGAACTCAATCACAAAGCCAATATTGGCCGAATAATAATTTTTATTCTACATCTTCGAGCTCCCCAAATATCTCTCTGAATTTTGATAGAAACAAGAGAGAGAGAGAGAGAGAGAGAGAAGGACATTGTATTTGTATGTATAGGTAATAGGTGTATGCATTGTGGAGGCATGGAGGTGGAGGTCTCAGGTGCGAAACCGATCGGTGTTGGAATTGAGAGGGCGAAGTCAGAGAGGGATCGGATTCGGGTGAAGAGGAAGACCTTGCAGGATGTGCTTGAGCAGTGCCAGAGAACTCTTGAATTGCTTAGTAACACCGGCTTTGTTGATGATAAAAACGATCAAGAAGATGACAGGAATGTAGATGCCGATGATGCAGAGGAGACCGGTATGGCCTCCTCGGTGCCGTGTCGTGATAACGAAACCGAAGAGGTAAAGTATGGGGTTCTTTGTTGGCAAAGTGTGATTTATTCTATGATATCGAGATCTTTGAAAGTCTGGATTTTCGTTTGGTTTGTGTGTGATTTCTTTCTTTCTATTTCTTTCCATTAGATTCAGGTGTTTTTATAGCGATTTGAGTTTGTTTAGTCTCGACTATCTGATTTAAATGGGGCTGTCTTAGAGTAATTTTAGTTGTATGTTGAGCTAGAAAATATGATAATCTAGTGAATAGATTGTGATGGGCTATTGTTTTGCGGCATAACTTCTGATACGTGATGGAAGGGGTATCATAAAACAATCTAGCTCTTTTGCAGTTCTAAAAAGCATTTGTTTTGCTCTTTATACAATTTTATATATCTCGTGCAGTTCTATCATGATCCAAAGAATTCAGTTTCATTCAAATCCCTTTTGTGTGATTTTTGTGGTTTACATATGAAATTTACAAGGAACTCATGTCAGTATGTTATTTGGAAGTCTAACATGATAAGGATGCTTTCATCATTCCCCACATAAATTACCCCATAGGAGATGTTAGCTGCTGAAAAATCGGCTGCATCTTTTTTCTATTTGCAGTTGTGCGATCTCCTGAAGTCTAGGGTGGAATGCCCTGATTTTCTTGAAAAGCTAGAGAGTGAACAGGCATCCGTTCCACACAATGTCGCGGGTACGCATTCACGTGCCTTAACTAGAACATTTTTTTCTTTATTTTCCTTGTGGCTTTGAAAACTTCTGCTCCTTCTCCCCCTCCCTATCTCCCCTCCACTTTCCTCAGAAGAGTTGATACTTAATTGGAATTGCTTCTATAATCCCTATATGATGCAGAAGAAGGCAGTTCCTGGGACATGGTTGGCGAAAATGATATTTGGGAAGGAGGGAATAATGAGTTAGATACAGAAGAGTATGTGCTAATTAGGCAAGAAGATATAGTGGATGGTATTGCATGCTTCATGGCTGCCTATCTGTTGTCCCTTAAAGAGGCTAAGGTACGTGAAATGCCTTCTTGTTGCTTCATTTGCACCTTTTCAGGGTATTTACACCCCCTACCCCCCCCCCTGTCTATCAGTTGAAAAACTCCGTTCAATTCTCTTAAATCCATTGCTTCAATTAATTTTCCTCTGCCATTGTGGTTGATGCCTCAACAACTGAGCATTGTGTGAACTGTGTTTTTTGCAACTTGATTGACTAGCAATCTCGTGCATATGGCTACATTTTTGCTTTCTTCTTTACTGGCTTTTGAGAAAAGGCTTGTTTAAGTTTTATTTTTTGCAGCACTCATCTTTTTGGTTATAATTGCTTCATTTACAAGGTTCTTTTAGTGGAAATATTGGAGAAGATTCAGCAGCATGTCTTTATCCTCCTTTGCTCTAGTTCAACCATAGTTTGTCTACCTACATATTGCCATGTATGTTAGGAGCCATAAGCTTTCCTCAAATTCTGGTACTGCTGGATATCCAGGTTGAGAATAAGACTTGGCTTACCTTCATTTGCTTGGTGCCATCTTAAAATTTTTCAGTGCCATCAGTTTAGGGAATAAAGACCTAGTATATTCTAATGCTTGGAGATTAGAGGCCTCTGCTCATTCATGTTATCCCTTCTGCCCTATCCAGTTAATTTAACCCACCCACTATCCCTATTCTGTTATGAAGCGGTTCTTTTATACCAATCTTTGTGTATGATTTAAAATATTTTGTTTAAGTCACATACTAAGATGTCGGGAGAAGGTAGTTAAAGACACTACTACTATTACTAGGAGGTGAAAATCTCCCAAGAGAAAATATGCACGCCCTGGGCTTTACAGCTATGACCCTGCTACTGGGCTTACTTGGAAATAGCCTGACATGGGTCATTGCTGCATATTTTGTACTTTGTAGTTGTTAAGGACATAATTAGCAGCAGCCAGTTTAGTATGTTGTTTAGGTGTAAAATGAGGATAATGGTGGTATTATCTATATTCAAAGTGATCAATCTGTCGTTCTGAAAATCAACCTGAATGTTTGTTGCAGATTAGAATAAACTCAATATTGTTCCTTCAAGCGGAATGTCTATTCCTGACATTGAACTTTTTGCTTTGTTTTTCAGGATTTGACCCCGAATCAGCTTCAGGATGGTGAGTGGGATTGCTCTTCCCTTGAGATATGACCTTGCAGTGAACTCTTCCAGATATCGTTTCGAAGAGCATGAAAAGAAACAGAAAAGAGCCGTATCTAACTGGCTTTGTGTTTATTATACTTGCACAATATTTTTTTATTTTTTTTGTAGAGTTTGGTTGTCAGATACTGAGGGAAAAGAGGTCTAAGTTTCTTGAACATTGTTTCAGCTCTGAGCAGGACATTCTCTGTGAAGAAGAAGAAGGGAAAGCTTCGGAAGGCATGGGATGGAAGCAAGGTCATATATAACGTAGCATCCTGGGGTGCTACAGCCATTGGGTAAGCTATTTAATTTGATTTGGTGAATATATATAATTTGCGTTCTATTTAACAATATTTTAATGCAAGGTGTTTGGCTAAAGTTTGAGCTACAACCATATATCATTGAATGCCCTGTTTGTGATTTGATTTCATAGGTGATTGGCACAACAATGCTGAAGCTTTACAGTTGACCAATATTCTGAATTCCCTTTTGCTAATGGGAATACTTGCTTAAGCATCATTTTGAAGGGTGAATGTGTGACAAATCTAATGATGAAACATAACTTGCTAATTTTGTAGTTGAGAAGTTGCATAGCGCTTACAAATTAAGTGCATTGAAAAAGGGTTTTTATTTTCTTCTCGTTAAAGCTAAAACAATTGAAAAAGACTACTAGGAATTTAGACTATAGGAGTAGCTGAGCACTCATGCCTGCAGGCATATCGATATAAAAATAGAATCAAGGGGTCTGCAATGCAAGGATTGTGCAGGACTAGCAATCTTGTGCAAATCAACCCCTGGATTGAAATTGGATTTTAATTTCCGGTTTGCTTTTATATGATTATGACAATTGAATTTGTGAAACTGGTAAGACATGTATTTGTTCATGGTTGTGCACAGTGAAGCCTTTAGTCTTCAGTTCACTCAAGCTTGTCAAATTGTCAAGGTTTTACTCTCAACATGTGTTCCCAATGTTTGGTTTTGAGATGCTGCTGTGTATCCTTAAAAGACTTCTGAAACCAACCATTCTTATAAGTGTTGCTTGTTTTTATGTCTGCCTCATTTGGTAATATACACTTGTGAGGAGTGGTTATTACCTTTTCAACTTTCACATTCCAGTTCTTGGATGTCATGGGGGATTTGATGTTGGACTGTGAGCCCATGCCTGGGGTTAAAACAGCTGATGAATTCGAAGCTGCATTTAAGCATCCTCAAATGTCTTATTTCACCATTCCCACTTGAAATAAAGCAGAAGGCAAAAGGTTTAGCATCCTCATATGCATGTGTTCTTGAAGCTATTGTCGATAGAGGAAATTAGAGTTCTGCATTTTCCGGATTATTATCAGTATCTCTCTTATTTTGACTGTTCATTCCGGATTATTATCAGTAACTACAGTCTGACTTCCTTCCGGGCATTGTGTTTGCTTCAAACAGGATTTACCAAAATCCTGCCCTTCTTAGGGCCGCCTCAGCAGCATTTTGGCCCTTTTATGGCGTTGTATCAAAGCTTTTCTAATCTGCGCTGACCATTCGGGAAAGTTCCGATGCTTTGTATCATGGTTGTATATATGCTTGTGCTGCCAAAGCAGCTTGGTATTCGTCAAAATTGCGCAATAGTAAGTGCTATTCTTTTTGTGTGACACTGCAATTGATTGCTGATGTAATTTAATCCTGTAAATATTTATTTACTTAAAGCTGTTCTATGTACTGTTACAGTTGATTGGATAACCAATGTATAATTGTTCTCTGGCCTATGTTTCCGTAGTTGAGAACGTTATTAGGGCTCTGTTCATCAGTAACGGCATGCACTTCCTAATTTCGTACCTTAACCATGAACAAAAATTTTGAGGGGAAAACACTGCAAAGGTTGCATTTGCAATTTAGAAATCAATTTTATTCGTTACATTACTTCAAAATGAAATTGGGTTGTATGCTTTTTTTTTTTTTTTAATTTAACAGTCAAAAGTAATAAGGTTAATTTACATACATTTTGACTAATATCCACTCCAGTGTAGTTAAAAATAAGTTATTAACACTAAATTAAAATATTCATAAACAATAAAGCTTTTATGGTCTAATTCCAAGAGATGGTTAAATTGGATTGTGTCCCTTGCACCATCGGGGCTTCAAGAGTTAGACAAGTTTGAGGCGATGTTTACATGTAGTCTTTAATGTTGCACTGTTCGACTAGCTTTACGTAATCTCATCATTTGAGCTGAAAGTTTGTAGGCACAAGTACACATGCCGAACTGACTGAACAGAATTTATAAGGCAAAGATACTGGAGCTGGATCATGTAAAATGCATAATATACCAACTTTCTATATTTTTAAAAGTAATTACAAAAATAATCTGAGAAATCCTCTGGGAAGATAGATGAATTTGGAGCAGCCGAGTCACCTGCTTCCTGAAAACAAAAAACCAATGCAGCACCTTTGTTTTCAAACTCGGTGTCAATGCATACCCCCCTTCCCCCGTCCAAAGCCCCTTTCTCCTCTCTCCTCCCCTCTCAAAAAAAAAAAAAAGTCCTTTTATAGAGCATATGTACGTATAACCTAATAGTAGTAATTGTTGCCCTTGTTACTCGGAGCATCTTTGCAAAGAATTGAACGCACTTCAACTATGGACCTTGGTGGCTCCAGTTCTTTCTCTTGAAGGGCATTCCCTAGTAGCTGCTGCATCTGAGATGCAAAGGTATCATCCAGAATCTGCATGGAACAACAAATCGAAAAATCACACGAGGATATGACAGCAAGGACTACAATATAGAATCAATGATATAGTTATGTAAGTACTAATTAGGTTGACTCCTACCATTTAATTTACAAATTCTCACCACAAACCAAACAGTTATGAAAAAATGATTTGCGAGAAACCTCCATGTCCTAATGTAGCAAAAATAACCACCTTGATTTTTAGACATAGATAACATAGGTATTCAGATCCTGTCTCTTTATCATATAACTGTAATTAATTGTCAATAACAGAACTTGGAGAGCAAATCGAGACTGGAAGAATAAAAAATGCTACTTACAGAGACGGCAATTCTTGAACCCTTATACCACGCCCTGTTCTCTTTCCTGTTTTCCAAAAAACTAAGAACATCCTGCAGCAAAATGAACACACAGATGAGTGAAACTATTCACTCTGTTTCTTAATAGTATCCAGATGCAAGTAATTCTACGATTTCTACCTGTCCCATCCTATCCCAATAACCTCGACAGGTTGCAATGAATACATGGGATTCGAAGATAGTGTGTAGAAGATTTATTGTATTCGTAAGCTGCTCTTTTAGTGGCTGAATTCTGTTTCTGACATCAGCCTCTACTACACCATCCTTTGAATCCTGTAAAATTTTCTTCAGCTTTGTACTACTCTGTAGTCTTGTCTGGATCAAAGAAAGAGAAAAAAGAAGGTCAATCGAGAAGAATACCAAAGAAAGCAACAACTTGTCATGCAAAGAAAAACACAATGAACTTAGTACAGCAGAACCAGAAACCCGGTGAACAACAGATCGCATGCAAAGGAACATGCACATAAACATGCCAAACAACGTTCTTTACATTGGGGAGCATATTCTTATGCACTTGTGCACCTTAAGAGCAAATTTGGAGTTGCATGAAAATTGATCTGTGGGTAAATGAACTTCCAACAGTTGTGTATAAACGGAGAATATAAAATAAGGCTATACCTGGCAAACCAGATGTCAGCTGGGACACCATTATCATAGATAAGCTGAGACACGGTCCAAACACTCGGTTTACAAGAAGCATATAGGTATTATAAGTGCACACAACTTGCTATGTAGATTTAAGGCCTCACATTTTTCAAATCAACATCATCCTCTTTTGGGGCATAAAGCATTTATCCTTCTTGTATTAACTAGATCACACACAAGCCATAAATATATCATGTGATTTGTTCATTTGTTTTCTGTCTTTTCAGGAAATATCACATAGGTGTATAGGCAACAAACACAAATTTGGGTCTGAAAGATCCCTAGACCTTTCTATGGTTAGATAAAACAAATTAAGAACAATTTAAGGCCAGGTGTAGAATGCTATACTCACATTTTCTGCAAGCTTTTCAACAACTGCTTGCAGATAATTTCTGAATTTGGACCTAAGCATCACAGTCACTTCGCTTAATCGTTCTCCAGGGGCTGTGTTTCCCCCATCAGGGATGCATGAACCCCATGCTTTCAATTGGGATTCTATCTTTGGCCGCAGGACATCAAGCATCCTCTTCATTGAATTCAACAGCACACCAAGCTGAAGTGCAAAAACAAATTTCAGGCCACAAGAATATAGATGAAAAACATGTTGAGAATTTGACAAGTAATTCACCTCATCAGGCACCACATAAGGGCATACAGATCGTTTGGCAAGCTTCTGTACATATTTGAGGCCAAATTTCCGGGGTGTCAAATTTTCCTTTAACGGCAACAAGACATCTGAATATTGTTTTTCCAGGGCCTCCACAATTGCTTTCTCGATGTCCGCAATGGCCTTGTTATGGAATAAAAAGACAAGAAAGTTCAAGTTACAATCCAAGTTTTTATCTTATAAAGCATCCACAACAAAATGATATAGTAGAGTCCATAGCCACTTTCCATCTTTCCCTGCCTTCTTTTAATAGTTGCGCCGGTCATAGTTATTAATTATCAAAGAACTAGCCTTTGCCCTGCCTGCAGTTTAATCTTCCTCGTGATAACTCTTTGCTCTATTCATCCATTGACATTTAGTTTGGACCCTAAACCCAATTCTATATAAGGATATCTTAAAGTTTCAGCCAACTGTAATAAAAGCCAAAGTTCAAAGTAACCCCCATACTGAGTCAATAACTAATATGTCATTCCACAGCATATGAAGGAAAAAACAAGATAAAGAGTTGAGGGATGAAGAACCCATTTGACCATACATTCTCCAAAACAAAGGTATATTCTGGCCACCGGCAAATGATGATGTCGTAATCATTCAAAGTTTCTTTCAGGCGGTCATACATTTCATCAATAAACGGGGTTGTTGAATGTTGTGTCCTAACTCCAGACCATTTCACCTGCGAGTAAATAAATAATTTTAAGCATCGAGAATTATAGAACACAGATGGTAGAAACTTTTTGCAAGATATGGAAGCTTTCATAGGGTTTCATGGGCCCATAAATAATGATCGAACAAAGCACAATTAATCAAGAAAATAAGTAACAAAGGAATTGCTAATGCATATCAGCATTTTTTGTAAACTCTTTATCCAAGGAATCATACACAACACAACTAAATCAAACCTTCCCAGTAACTTACATTAGACCATATAGAACTTCCAAACATAGATTACAAAAAATCAGGCAAAGAATCCAGCTAGATCTGATGCATAAAATACAAGCATGCACCTTTTCTTTTTGTTCGAAAAGTTTCAGTGTAAGAGAAATTGCGCCTAGATGTTCAGGCATTTTTGCAATGAGACCTTGGAAGTAGATAAACTCTATAGCATGAGTTTTCCTTGTGATTGCACACACGAAGACACCCAAAAAAAGGTTAAGAAATAAATCAAATATCTCGTACTATCGTAGACATAATATATGTACCTTGTCTAATTTGCATGATTCGAGCAAAGCAAGGCGCTTATCTTGAATCCAGAGGACAATATACAAATGGAACAATTCTTTTGCATCGACCCCACCTTTGACAGGTCTGACAAGGCACATTTTTTAAGTCAACACATGCAAATTAGTAAAAAACATGATTGCAAAAAATGAGTAGAGTGATACAAACTAATTACTTAATGTGCCATGTAGCAAGATCCCTTTGAAAATCTGCAGTTGCAATGACAAGTTCTCTAACAGGAGGCGAAGGGCCAGCTGGAGGGCATGCAATGAGGAAAGCACGCAATCTGTTGCAAAGTTCAGCGCTGTATATTGCCGAGGAAAGATTTGGTAGATCTATGAAACTACAAAAAAAAAAAATCAACAAATGTTAAAATTTTACACGACTAACAGAAGATATCAAACCAAATCTGTGATCACACCATCTAGTTAAGAAGTTATGATTTGGATAAGCAAAAAAGGGGCTACTTTGTTTTGCAGTTATCATGCAGATTAAGGAACCTTTCAACA